GCAGTTCCCAATGGATACAACAGATGAATGAGTGAGGGATCAATCTGTCCTGACAGCATAACGTTTGTATTTTCCATTAGTCATTGGTCAGCCATGACTCAGTGGATAGCTTCGTGAAGGTTATGACTTCAAATCTTTACTGCGCAAGGTTGAACGTATAATCTAGAGTAGCCTTTCTTCCAGTGTTGAGGACGGTCTGCACTACTGGGGGGACATCTTTTCAATGTGCTGTCAAACCGAGCAGGGATCCTACCCTGACTATTGTAAGGGTTTCATGTGGCCTACTCCTGCTCTTACTCCTTGTGTTCCTGTGCCAGTGCAGGTGACTCCTGGCCAATGCAGCTCCTTCAAGAACCATCTCCAAAAGAAATACATTCTGGTCATTGTTGTTTACCAGGCCCTGCTGTAGCCAAATTGGCTTCCGTTCTTCTGGCATTACAATGGCAAATATGACATCCCATAGACCAAGGCTGGGCTTGAAACCGGGCTAGTAGCTATGTGTGTGTTTTTTTTTCTGTCTAAACTGAAAATTTGCAGCATCACGATGCTGGAAGAAAAGTAAAGCTTACATTTGCATAGTCCTTTTCATGGTGCCATAATATTGCAAAGCTGTCCATAGGTTTAGGGTAAAAGTTCGGCCCAACATCGTGGGCCGAAGGGCCTGTACTGTGCTGTAATGTTCTATGTTCTATGTTCTATCATCAATCAGCTGCTTTTGAACTGTAAATAAATAAAGGCACCACAGTCCTCCCATACCATGGGGCTGCTCTCGGATTGGACAGCAGGAGTGGTTGGTTAGCTGAGTCGGCTGGATAGCTAGTTTGCAAAATAAATTGGTGCCAACAGCATGGGTTCAGTTCCCACACTCACTGAGGTTACTGTGAGTGTCCCACCTTCTAAGCTTTGCCCCTCACCTGAGGTGTAGTGACCCTTAGGCTAAGCCACCCTTCCCCACCCCTCAGTTATCCCTCTCTAATGAAAGAAGAGTCACTACGACAATGGTGACTTTGGAAGTGTAGTGAATGTAGGAAATGCAGCCGCACAGCAAACTTGCAACCACAGTGTGGCTATAAAAAGGGGATCTGCTTTTGTGGTGTTAATTGAGAGATAAGTATTGCCTGAGACATTGTGGAGAGATTCTCCTCCCCCACTTTTCAATGAAAGAGTGTAAGGGCATGATTTGCACCCATCCACACAGTGTGATGGGACTCAGTTGAAGGCCTCATGTGAAAGACTGCCTCACCGGGAGTGCCAGGCTAACCCAGGAGTGCCACCTGAACATAGAGCCTCCTGATGAGGACACAGGACTACAGCCCACTCAGTCACAAGTGATAGCAAGCCAACAATAAAAGAGAAACAAAGCTTGGAAGAGAGAATTGGCAGAAATCGGATCGTAGAATTATGGAATAAAAACCGAACGGATGCTGTAAATCAGGAACAAAAACTGAAGTTGCTGGAAAAGCTCAGCAGGTCTGGCAGCATCTGTGAAGAAAAAATCAGAGTTGACGTTTTGGGTCCAGTGACCCTTCCTCAGAACTGATGGTGGCTGGGAAAACATCGTTTATATGCAGAGAATAGGGAGGGGATGTTGGGTAGGGAGTAAATGATAGGATAGGTAGAATTGTGGAATTATGAGCTATAACTGCACAGGATTTCACTGTTAGTCCATGCCTACAGCAATCTAGTTCATCTGTCCCCTCTCTATCCCAGTATGTTTGCTCCTTCAGGTATTTATTCAATTGATTGATAAGACTGTTATTGAATGTACATCCATCACCCAATCTGGACAGGCTATTCAAAATCTAATATTTTGTTGCATGAGGAAGTTTTTTTCTTGTGTTACCTCTGTTCATTTCCAATTAATCATTTTAACTCTGTGACCTCGGGTTGTTTATTTTTTATTCATTCACGAGATGTGGGAGTCGCTGGCTGGCCTGTATTTATTCCCCATCCCTAGCTTCCACTGAAGTGGTGATGAGCTGTTTCCTTGGACACAAAGCCATAACATATAGGAGCAGAATTAGGCCATTTGGCCCATCAATGCTGCTCCACCATTTAATCGTGGCTGATATTTTTCTCAACCCATTCTCCAGCCTTCTCCCCGTATGCCTCAAGCTCCTTACTAACCAAGATCCTATCGATCTCTGTCATTAATGCACTCAATGACTAGGCCTCTGCAACAATGAATTCCACAGATTAGCCACCCTCTGGCTGAAGAAATTCCTCCTCATCTCAGTTCTAAAGGGTCGTCCCTTCACTCTGAGGCTGTGCCTTAGGTCCCAGTCTTTCCTTTCAGTGGAAACGTCTTCTCCACAGCCACCCTATCCAGGCCTTTCAGTATTCTGTAACTTTCAATCAAAATCCTCCCCTTCCTTTTAAACTCCATCGAGTACAGACTCAGAGTCCTCAACTGCTCCTCATAGGCAAGCCCTTTATCCCCAGGATTGTTCTTGTAAACTTCCTCTGGACCCTCTTCAAGTCCAGCACATCTTTCTTTAGATAAGGGCCCAAGTTACTCAACAATACTCTAAATGCGGTCTGACCAGAGCCTTACACAGCCTCAGCAGTACGTCCCTGCTCTTGTATTCCAGCTGTCTTGAAATGATTGCAAAAATAGCATTGCCTTCCTAACTGAAAACTGAATCTGCATTTTAACCTTAGGAGAATCCTGAACTAGGACTCCCAAGTCCCGTTGTATTTCAGATTTCCAAAGCCTTTCTCCATTTAGAAAATAGTTTATGCCTCAATTCTTCCTATCAATGTGCATAACCTCACACTTTCTCACATTGTATTCCAACTGCCACTTCTTTGCTCACTTCCCTGTCCAAGCCCTTCTGCAGCCTTCCCGCTTCCTCAACGCTACCTGTCCCTCCACCTGTCTTTGTGTCATTTACAAACTTAGCAACAACGCCCTCAATTCCTTTGTCCAGATTGTTAATGTATAACGTGAATAGTTGTGGGCCCAACACTGACCCCTGTGCAACTCCACTAGTCACCAGCTGCCATCCTGAAAAGGACCCCTTTCTCCCAACGCTCTGCCTTCTGCCAATCAGCCAATTCTCTATCCATGCCAGTGCCTTGTCCCTAATACCATCATAGCTAGCAGCCTCCTGTGCGGCACCTTATCAAAGGCCTTCTGGAAATCCAAATAGATCACATCCACTGGCTCTCCTTTGTCTAACTTGCTTATTGCCTCCTCAGAGAATTCTAACAGATTTTTCAGGTGTCACCCCCCTTGACGAAGCTGAGCTGAATCAGCCCTATTTTACCGAACACTTCCAAGTACTCTGCAATCTCATCCTCTGAATACCTGCCAACAACTGAGGTTAGGCTAAGCACCCTATAGTTCCTGTCCTCTGCCTCCATATCTTCTTCAATAGAGGTATTACATTAGCCATTTTCCAATCCTGTGGGACCCTTCCTGACTCCAGTGATTCCTGAAAGATTACCACCAATACCTCCACAATCTCCTTAGCTGTCTCCTTCAGAACTCTGAGATGTAGTCCACCTGAACTGGGTGATTTATCCACCTTCAGATCTTTCAGCTTCCCCAGCACCTTCTCTTTAATGATAATAAGAACTGCTGATACTGGAGTCTGAGATAACACAGTGTGGAGCTGGAGGAACACAGCAGGCCAGGCAGCATCAGAGGAGCAGGAAAGCTGACATTTCGGGTCGGGACCCTTCTTCAGTGATCTTTAGTGATGGCTACTACACACATTGCTGCCTCCTGACTCTCTTGAAGTTCTGGGTTTTTTTTTCATAGAACCCCTACAGTGTGGAAACAGGCCGTTCGGCCCAACAAGTCCACACCGATCCTTGGAACATCCCATCCAGACCCATATAACCCACCTAATCTACACATGCCTGAACACTATGGGCAATTTAGCATGGCCAATCCACCTAGCCTGCACATCTTTGGACTGTGGGAGGAAACTGGAGCACCTGGAGGAAACCCACGCAGGCACGGGGAGATTGTGCAAACTCCACACAGACAGTTCCCCGAGGTTGGAATCGAACCCAGGTCCCTGGTGCTGTGAGGCAGCAGTGCTAGCCACTGAGCCACCGTGCTGCCCTAAGCACCATGGTATGCTGCTGGCATCTTCCATCATGAAGACTGATACAAAATGCACATTCAGTTTCTCTGTCATTTCTTTGTGAGACTATGCCAGCCTAATTTTCCAAGCAGTGGTAGCTCCTGAGGTTTAGATAAACTCCAGGCTGGAATTAAGAAGGGAGTTCCTGGATTTTGACCCAGTGACAATGGAGGGGGCAGAGATCATTTTCATCTTGTGAACAAATTTTAAAATAGTCAATTACCCACGGCCAAAGAGTTCAGGTCACGGGACTGTCATTTTCCCTTTCTTAAATTGAGGCCAGTTCCCTAAGGTGGAGATGAACGATTAGACATTCTATATCAGACAGAAGGTCCTCTCTCCCTGCCAGCTGGCTGCTATTTATTTATCAATCAACACACCTAATTACCCAAGATCACCTGATTATCAAGGGGATCAAGGGTTACGGGGAGAAAGCAGGAGAATGGGGTTGAGGAACTTATCAGCCATCATTGAATGGTGGAGCAGACTCGATGGGCCGAATGGCCTAATTTCTGCTCCAGTGTCTTATGGTCTAAGCATTCGGGTCATTATTGGCGATTTCTAAAGAAGGGTCCCAACCCGAAATGTCAACTTTCCTGCTCCTCTGATGCTGCCTGGCCTGCTGTGTTCATCCAGCTCCACACTGTGTTACCTCTGACTCCAGCATCGGCAGTTCTTACTGAGTCATTATTGTGTTGCCATTTGTCTGAGATTACTGCAAGCCAATTGGCCATTGTGTTTCCCACATTACAACAATGGGAGTACTTTGTTGGCTGTTAAATCTTTTGGAGCATTGTGAAAGGCAATTATATGAATAAAAGCTTGTTCTTTCTCTATTTCATATTGTAGGAAGAGTAATATGATATTTTCAGTGACACTTTCTCCCCACTTTTCTCATTACAGGTCACCGATGACCTTATTGTTTCCTCAGCTGAGTGTGCAAGCGATGATGAGGACCTCGATGAGTGTGAGCCCAGCTCAGGTGGGTTAGGTCAGTCCATTTTTGCTTGCTCCTTCTTTCATAAAACATGATTAACTGATAAAAGTCGAACGATAATTGCCAATGGAATCGGATAGCAGAATCCAAGCTTAAGGCATCAGGTCCCATGGACCAGTGTGGGGAAGGGAATTAAGGAGATCTAAAAGACAACATTTTCTGAGTGATGGAACTAAAAAAGGGGAATTTTTTAAAAAAAAGAAAACGGAATAAGTTGTTTGATCCGCGAGTGACAAATTGGAATTGCTGCTCGGATTCCTCTTGGGAGCCTCATCAGAATGAATGAAATATTTATGCTGGGGATAATGAAGATTTCACGTTAATCGTGCTAATTGTTCTCCTGTTCTTCAGTGATAACACACAGACCCATGGGACCTCTAGTGTGGTTAACATGGTATCGTTTTACACTAATTTTGCCGCTGCCAGAGCTGAGCCCAGCTACAGATAGCCGAAATTAGTAATAGATCGGGACCGTGTTAATCTGACTGATGCCCCAAAATGTCTACCGTCAGTCACATGATTGATCGCTTTCCTTTCAATGACCTCCTCCCCTTTCTCTTTTGCTTCCCCAATCCCGGTTACTTTTCCTGTTCACTGACGGAAACATTTTGACTTTCACCGCCAGACAAACTAGTGATATTGAGCTGATTTATTGCAAATACTAGGCTTGTCCTTTTTTTTTCATTTCTCTCTATCTCTCTTAAGGCTTGCCATGGGTTAGGCTATTGCAATAGAGAACAGATATCAAAGAATTTCTGTGTATGATTCTTTTTTAACCTAGAATAATTTTTTCAGGCTTACCTATATATTTAAATATGTGTATATGTACACATATGTACACATATGTACGATTGTACATATTTATATATAAACAATAGCGCAGATATATAAAGAGATATTCAGCAAAAGATTTTTATAGCAAAAATATTTTACTGGGCTCGCATTTGCTTCTTTTTTTAAAAAATATAAACGTATTTGGTACAGGATGATCAAACTCCTCTAAGACCTAAGATTCCCTAAGTTTTCCACATCTTTTTAATTTAATTTTTGGGGAATTTTTTTTTGGAAAAAAGTATTTTTTAAGGAAAAGACAGATATCAGCAGTCCCTCACCATCAAATCATACGTTTACACAGAAATTCACTCCCTCATTTCTAACCCCAGCATCAGCAAACTTGAACAGCTGCACGCAGTGTCGTTTTTCACTGTTAATGCATGCCCGGTTTTAGTTCAGTTTATGTTGTCGTTAAGCAACAGTTATAGCTGGCATTATTTGCTCCCACACTTCATCATGCACCGCATGTAATTTTGGTGGTATGACAAAATTTGTATATATATACATATATATATGCACATTATACATATATATATCATATCTTCATATATATTTTGTAAAAAGAATCAGAATTTTGAATTTTTTGGAAGCAGTTTCTTTTTCATTTTTAATAATTAAGCTTTTTTTTTCAATTGAATTTTTTAATGCAAAAAAAGTACATTTTTTGTTTTCCTTTTAGAGGCAACAAAATCCTTTCTTGCCATCGAACTCGGCAGAATGGGTGGTGACTACTGCCCTAGGCTGCCAAAGAAAGTTGTGTATGAAAGACTAAAAATTGAATTAAGTAGAAGGTTGATAAACAATCACTCTCCGCCCCCGTCTCTTCCCCTTCCCACTCTTTACCTCTTCCTCGCTGTCACTGCTCTGTCTAGCCTCGATGTTTATCTCTATTCCCTCCAAATATCTTTATTTGTGCGGAATAACAACTTACTTTCTGTTAAAGAGAATGCAGATGGCATAAAAAGAATTTTATTGTCAGGAAGCATTGTTACTTGCCAAACAATTACAAATTCATGTTTAATCTCGTGAAAAAAAAAATTCATCGTTGGCACATCGTAGCAGTAGTTCCTTTGCCGAAACCAAAACCCCATCCTATTCATAACTCTGCAATCAGTGCATGGACTGTGATAGGGGCCATTGCTGTAACTCATAGCGAGCTGTTGGGTGTCAGTCATACAGCCTGCTGTGTTTGCTCGGAAAATGGTTTGTTTTTTTTGGTGTCTGTGTGGTCACGGCCCAGTAGTTGCCGCCTATCCACCTGCTCCTGTTTATTTTAAATTCCCAATCGGGAAAATAGTGATGTCCCTGGTTTGTTTCTGTGGTTTTTACTGTTCTCGATGTTGTGACGTCATGTGATTCTGTTCTCTGTTTTTGTAGAAATTTGTTAAAACTTTCCCCCTCTTCTTGCCCCAGACCCTGCAATCCTACCTTGTCCCCTTTCCCAAGTCTTTCTTCGAGAGAAAAGTAAATTCCCAAAAGAGCAACAGGCAAAGAAAAAGCTTTGTTTTTGGAAAGTGGCTGCACTTGTTTTGTGACTACTTTTCCAACCTTTCAACTCTTCCCAATTGGAAAAAGCTCTAGATGTCAATGCTACCAGATGCTGTACTGTGATAAATTGGCACATGTATGACGATGGAAATCGAAAAGTGGCAGGCTAATGCCCTTACTCTCTGCGCGCTACCAGATTTTGGGAATGCTAGAAACTCGTAGCTGCATTTATGTGAAGTTGTATCTCTGTTTCAGCTCTGTAACTTCACACTGCAATGTTCTTGAGTAGCAGACAGAATAATTTCACTGCTATTTGTTAGTCTGCCTGTAAGTAGCGTATCTCAAAATCTAATGGATGTATTTCAACAAAAGTTGGCACGTAGATAGGATATGGCTCAGGGAAAAATCAGTTAGTCTTTGTGGAACATGCAGATCTAGATGCTGGAACTTTTTAAAGAATTCTTTAAGATAAGGAGATAGGACAATTTGATGTTTTCTTTGGATATTTTATTTTGTTTAAAACGTGCTTGTTTTAGAATTTTGTGGATTGCGCCAGCTGTTAATGTGGAATTTTCAAAATGTAAGCAGAGTTTTCAGAGGAGATTGTTGGACATAAGCCTCATTGAAGCCTCCTCAGTGAGATGGAAGTTCTTCGTAAAATGACATTTTTTGTCCCAGATGTTTGTTTGCAAAGCACTCAACCAAGCAGGGCATCTTGAGGGAAGAGTTGGAAGAGTTGTATAATCGTAATAATGTTAACAAATGTTAATATTGTGTTAGCATGTTATGGTGATGGCATGAGGTCTACATAGTGCACTCTCACTTGTTAAGTTTTGCAGTAGGAGTTGGTGGGAGTTTGAGGGGAATGTAATTACCACTGATTTGATTTGAGACTGGTAAAACTGGATTTTTACTTCCTTCACTCATGTCTGTGGGCATCGCCGGCTAGACCAGTATTTATTGGCCATCCTTAATGGCCCAGAGGCTGTTGCTGTGAGTCTGGAGTCATATGTAGACCAGACTGGGTAAGGACACGAGTGAACCAGATGGGATTTCATGATAATTGACAGGGGTCATCTTGTCATCATTAGACTTTTAATTCCTGTTTTTTTTTTTAATTTTTTTTTTGAATTATTGTGGCTTGAACTATTGAATTCAAATTTTACTATCTGCCATGGTAGGATTCGAACCCAGACCTCCAGAACATTACTGAGTCACTGAATCTCCTAACAATATCACTTAGGTTATTGCTCCCCTTTTGGGAGAATGCAGGAAAGAGTGCTTATGTGATGATTAGTTTCAATTGGTTGTGGCACCTTAAGTATAGCCTGGTGAAAAAGATAGAAAATCTGCAGCCCCTTTCACAACCTCTGGATGCCTTAAAACCAACGGAGCATGTTTGATGCATGGTTATTGTTGTAATGTGGGAAACAGACATAGCTGTTGGGACTGAGATAAGTTTAAAAGGAGCTTGACCATTTTCGTTGGGATGAGCTGAGTGCCCTACATCTGACTGCATATTCCATGTAATTTTGTGTATCAGACTGGCTCTGATCCAAGAGCCCCCAGCCATGACAATGGAGGCTCAGACTGTACCTTTCCCAGAGTAAAGATTGTGAGCAAACATCTCCTCAAAATGATAGTGGCCTTAATTGAACACCTAGGGCTCACCATTACCTTGAATGGAAAATATAAATGGAAGACAGAAAATAATTATTGACTCAGAGTCTTTTTCTCTAGAGGCAGCCACATACAAGTGGGAGAAAGAAATCCAATGATACAGAAACAGGCTATTCAGCCCATTATGTTTATGCCAGTTTTATGCTCCACATGAACCTCCTTCTTCATTTCTCCCAATCAATATATTCTCCCTATTCCTTTCTCTCCCGTATGTTTAATTAGCTTCTTCTTGAGTACTAAATGCATCAACCAGTACCATGTGTAGTAGGTTCCACATTCTAACCACTCTGTCAGAATATGAGGTTCTCTTGCACTCCCTGCTTTGATTTATTTGAGTCTCTGGTATTTATGATCCTCAGTTCTAGTCATGGAGTCATAGAGTCTTACAGCATGGAAACAGACCCTTCAGTCCAACCAGTCCACGCTGACCATAATCCCGAACTAAACTAGTCCCACCTGCCTGCGCTTGGCCCATATCCCTCCAAACGTTTCTTGTTCATGTACTTATCTAAATGTCTTTTAAACATTATAACTGTACCCACATCCACCACTTCCTCCAGAAGTTTATTCCACATACGAACCACTCTCTGTGTAAAAAAATTGCCTTTCATGTCTTGTTTAAATCGTTCTCCTCTCACCTTAAAAATATGCCCCCTAGCCTTAAAATCCCCAACCCTAGGGAAAAGACACCTGCCATTCACCTGCTCTATACTCCTCATTATTTTATAAACCTCTATAAGGTCACCTCTCAACCCCCTAGTCTCCAGAGAAGAAAAGTCCCAGCCTATTCAGCCTTTCTTTATAATTCAAACTCTATATCAAGCATGCAAAAGGTAAGAAATAAAAAAAAATCAAACGTATAAACCCATTGCAGTCAGAAATATCATCTCATGCCTAGTCTGATGGAGTGAGAGGCAGAGGAGTGGGAGCATGAAGCCATTCTGAAGCCATTTGCTAAAGTAAGAAGGCACTAATACAAGATATAATGATAGAATGCAGCATTACAGGTGTCTGTCTCTGTGCTAACCAGTGCTGAGTATCCCTGAAGTCTCTTCTTATGTTTGCTCAAGATTCTCAATCAATGAGTTCCCTCCAGCGTGTATATCCTTATATTTAATAATTCAGTTGGACATAACATTAACAGGCAGGAGACTCGTATGGGGAATAAATACAGGCTGAATGGGCTGTTTCTGTAGTGTACATTCTGTGCTGACTAAAGTATGTCCTCTAGCCACTCGGTCATGCTGTGGTTTTACAGAATCAGACGAGAATGAATTGGGTCACTGAATGTTGCTCGTTAATTGGTCTGTATATCAACAAACAATTTGGATGCTGGAGTTAATTTGTGTTGGAGAAGTAAGTGTGAAACTACATGGTATTCCACCTGAAAAGACGACTGATGTCCCTCATCTTTACTTGTTAAATATATAACTATTCACTCCCCTTCTGTCCTGGGGGAGACAACACAGCCACCAGCTCATTGTAGCAGCCAAATAACAGGGAGAGAGCGATTGGCTGGTTGATACACCCTCTTATTTGTGTTGAGAGCTCTGCTGCGCTGGGGTGTTCTTCTGAGATGCTCTCACTTATTTTCCTTTAACTTTGTGTTTCATTCTGATTCATTCTCCCCTTCCCCAGACTTGATGACTGCCTCTTGCAATTTGATTATCGTGAACAGTTTTTCAGTCGGTAATTAGGGCAAATCTCACTCCCAAAAACACCAGAAAACAACATAAGTAAGCTCCTTTGTACTTTCATTAAGCATAGAGCCACAGAAAACAGAGACAGCAGTAGGCCATTCAGTCTGCTCCACCACTCAATATGATCATAGATGATCATCCAACTCAGTCCCCTGTCCCTGCTTTCTCCCCATACCCTTTGATCCCTTCAGCCCAAGGAGCTATCTCTAACTCCATCTTGAAAACATTCAACGTTTTAGCCTCAAACACTTGCTGTGACAGAGAATTCCATAGGCTCACCACTCTCTGGCTGAAGAAGTTTCTCCTCATCTCAGTCCTAAATGACCAATCCTGTATCCTTAGACTGTCACCCCTGGTTCTGGATTCTCTGGTTATTGGGAACATACTTCCTGCATTTACCCTGTCTAGCCCTGTTAGAATGTTAATGATTTCTATCAGATCATTGAAACACTACAGGCCCATCAGGTCTACACCAACCCTCTGAAAAGCATCCCTCCCAGACCCAGCAACCCACCTATCCCTGGTATCTCGTATTTCCCATGGCTGACCCACCTAACGTGCACATCTTTGGACTATGGGAGGAAACCCACACAGACACGGGGAGAATGTGCACATTCTACTCATGCAGTGACTCAAGGCTGGAGTCGAACCTGGGTCCCTGGCGTTGTCAGGCAGCTGCGCTGACAACTGAGCCACCGTGCCACCCTTATTTCCCCTCATTCTTCTAAATTCCAATGAACATAGTCCTAACCGATTCAGTCTTTCCCATAAGTCAATCTGCCATTCCAATATGGCTCAAATCCAGTATTAAATCAAAATCTAGTCTTGCTATACCCAGCTCCCATTGGACAAAGTTATCAAGACAGTCAGTTGAATGATGGAAGTGGATGAATACAGCAGATTTTTGCCTGCTAATCTTTGGAGATCAGTGAATGTGTTGTAATGGAGATTTTGCTCCATTGTTTCAATTGACAGTGGAGGTTTTTATTTCTTTATTCATGGGCCTGTGCATATTGTGTTTAGGCCAGCATTGATTCCCGATACTTAATAGCAGTTAACAGTCAACATATAGGGCAGACCAGAACGGAAGGCCGATTTCCTGTCCTGAAGGACAGTGGTGAACCAAATGGAGCTTTTTTTTTTAAAATGACATCCATCAGTGATTACTTGGTCACCATCAGGCTAGCATTTTTTTGGAATTCAAATTTCACCATCTGATATTTGTGGGATTCAGACAGCTATCCCCAGAACATTAGCCTAAAGTTCTGGATTTTGAGTTCAGTTACATTACCACCACCTCCTTCTCTTCCCGTATAAATAAGGGTACTTCGGAGAACTGACTCCTGAAAATTGGCTGATTCCTAGAATGAAAGGGTTGTCTTGTGAGGAAAGGTTGAGTAGATTGGGCCTGTACACATTTGGAACTTAGAATCTTGCATGTTTCAATGAATTTCCAAGGCACCTCAACGGAGTGAATGCTGAGATGGTGTTCCCCTTGCGGGGAAATCTAAAATCTAGAACCGAAGGCATGGTTTCAAGATAAACGAGGAAGATAGGGAGGTATTTCTTCTCTCAGAATGTCAACAGGTCTTTGGAATTCTCTATCCCACTTATCCCATTCCAACATCTATCCCATTTACAGGCACAGTCCATTCAGTGCTTCAAGTCTTCTACTATCATCCTAACAAAGATGGCTGCCACCTGGTTATGGGCCTAAAATCCCTCAGATCAGAAATTGAGGATGAGATGCGCAATGCCCACCAGTTTGCAGGTTATTCCACACATTTGCCCTGCTGAACACGCAGTTTGCTTCTGTTTTAGAGAACTCAGAAATAACTGAGCTGTCCTGTTCATCATGTCTACAGGAAGTCCCCACTGGACCATTCAGTCAAAACCCTCAGTGACAAAATGTATCCTACCTCTCAACATGCCTCAGTCCACTCAACTTCCTTTTAATTCACTTGTTGCTCCTGAAAGAGAAATTCAATAGCAATGAATGTCCCTGAGTTAATATTAACCGTATTTATATTCATTTCATATTCAGATGTGATTCCTCTAATGATGAACACATTTCTCTGATAGATTCTTGAATTTTAAGTGTGCCCAGATGCAAAACTTGCTGAATTTTCAACCTTTTTAGATTGATTGGGAAAATTGACATTTTTTCAGCTTTCAAGTTGATTAATTCAAGGTTCCTATCTTTTTCGGTTGAAATCAAATCAGTCCATTGAAATAATAGTCATTAAAGACAGGGAGATTGAGTACTTGAATAAGTGTGAGCTGATTAGGGAACACCAGTCCGACAGAACATCCAGCATCTTGTTGGATTTTCTGAGGACGTCATTAATCAGGAGTATCCATGGATGCTATCTATATGGAGTTATCAATGAGGTTCCATACAGAAGGGTATTGGCAGAGTGCATTACAATGGAGATAGCCTTTTAATGGAGATTGGAAGTTGGTGCAAGTTCAAAGAAACCATGTAGGATTAATGGGCAGGCACTCTGACTGTAATGATGTGACAAGTGGCATTCCCTAGGGATGTGAAAAGGCCTCAATCATTCACAATTTAATCCCATGATTTCGGTGAAGGAATATAGTTCATACAACTTACAGACAAGATAAATTGTAAATCTGACGCAGATCACATTAAATGAGAAGAGGCAGTCGGTAATAAAGATTAAAGTAGTCCTAATTTTTAAATAGGCTTTCATCGGGTCTGAGCATCACTGACAGAGACAGCATTTGTTGTACATCCCTTTCACCTGGTTGGCTTCCTGAGCTATTTCAGTGAGCAGTCAAGAGTGAAACTGGGTCTGGAGTCACATGTGGGTATGACCAGGTAAGGGCAACAGATTTCCAAAGGGCATCAGATAAGTCCTTACAACAACTGATGCAAGTTGTTGTGATCATCATTACTGAGAAGAGTCTTTAATTCCAAATATATTCATTGAATTTATGTAGCGCCATCTGCTATGATTTGGATTTGCCCCATTCTAGTCTGCCTCATTTCAGATCGGCAGGCGCGTGTTTGCGGAGAGCTGACTGCTTCCTGACCTGAGCACCCTCCTCCTCAGTTTGAGGTTCAGGTCCGTGGCCTGAGAGGGCCCCTAGCACCTCACACTGAGGCTAATCATCAACACCCTAACCCCCCTATCAACCCTCAGGACAAATTTCCTCTCCCAGAGCATTGTCAGGCTTTGGAATTATTTTCCGTCGTTGGGTTGTCG